GAATTTATCTTCGGTGATAACAGCAAAATCAACGGTGCATTTGGATAAGAGCAAAAAAAAATAATCACATGGTATTCAGCAAAGCAATGGCACAAGGGAAAAAATGTCACTGAATACCAATTTCTGGGGATTTGATAGCAAGAGTGTACTATGCCTACTGTATTAAGAGACAATACTGTATTTACTCCCTTCTGAATTTTTTGAATTGTGGCATATTTTCACCACTGAAAGTTATCAGAACTTCATGTGGGTCCTGCTGATAAATAAAAGGAGTCTGAACAAACAGATAACACCAATGTTTGGTGTTTGTTTCATTTAATTAATATCTGGTGCTTGTTTTATTTATTTCACTTATTTCAGAATAAGTCAGTCGACTCATGATGTGCCATCCCTTCAGATTTGGTAACAGGCTGCAGCACATTGGCTGTAAATACTGCAATCCAGCTGTAAATACTGCAATCCAGCTGTAAATACTGCAATCCAACTGTAAATACTGCAGTCCAACTGTTCCATAATTAGATCAGTCTCTATGGCTCATTTCTCCATGATAAAATGTTTCAATTCAGTAACATTTCATGGTTTTCTAGCTTGAACTACTCATTTCAAGTCCTGCCACAATATTTCTATGGGGTCTGGACTTTGACTTGACCATTCCAAAACAATGAATTAGTTCTTTTTAATCTGTTCACTTTAATAATTGCTTGTACGTTTTGGATCTTTGCTGAATGACCCCTTGAACTTCCATTTCAGCTAACAGACAGGTGGCCTGATATTCTATTGGACCGTTTTTCTTAAATTCCAAAATAAGTGTATTGTTTCCTAGTAATGACAAGCTAAAGGAACTGATTCACATACAGTAGAAATGAAAAGGAAGATTCTTTTGGTTCGAAACAGATGATGGCTGCTGAAAATGATGAGAAATGATGAAATGGTATGTAGACGGTGAAGGATATAATGGTAAGGTAAGGCATGGTAAGGTAAGGAAAAGATAAGATAAAGAATTGTAAAATAAAAAGAGTTGGGATTTTCAGCCATTCTAACTGGCTGCTTATTCCTGATGACCCTATCTATTAATGGAGGAATCCCTGTTCATCAGCTCCCTGCAGGGAATTCTGTGATCCTTTTGGATGAAATTGCAACCAGGTTGTGCAAGCACCAGAAGATTTTAGGATTTAAGTGTATGTGTATTGAATGTTCACAGCCATTATCACGAATAAGGCAATCAAGGGAAGATTAAAAGGGCTAGAGTGAATACAGAATATATTCTACACTTGGAGCAGAACAGCAGGGATTGGTTTCTACTAGCTTTCTAATACCCATCTAGCTCCCAAAGATCC